CACACATACACACACACACACACAATTTCAGTTGATATAATATTAGTTGTAAATTAAAATTGTTTGTATTGTAATAGAATTAAATTTATTTTACAGAATATATGCAAATGAATCAGAATCGAATCATCATTTATCATTATGAACTTGCATTATACGTAGGATAGATAGACGTCAGTGGATGAGTAATATGAACTGAAACGGACTTTGAAATCGGTATGTATACACCCCATTGCAACTTATCATCAAAGGCTATCTCTGTACAAAACAAAGTCAAGTCAATGATGAAGTGAATTGATTTGCTGTAGAAGAGATAAGTATAGATACGCGATATACGTTGATAAATATTAATTACTTGATAATGATTAATTTTTCATTATAAGTGAAAAAAAATCTTTTCTATAATAAGACTAATTTTTGAATTAAACTTTCTTCCTGTTGACGAAGTGAAAAAATCTCCCTCTTCATATTTTCAAATATACATATGTAAATTTTAAAAGAATATAGAAATTTTCATTATTGTCGAGTCATATAGATATCACGAGAAACCACAGCTGAAGCAACTGCGTATACAGCCGACTATATAACTTTCTTTATTATGTACTGATAATAATTCTGTCGATTTCTTACTACTGATTTTCTCTAACGATTCTAATTTTATCGTCATTTACATGTATTGAAATGTAAAACGATAATACCGGTGATATTGAATCAGGTCATAAAAACAAGATTTGAAAATCATGCCATCTGTGAATAAAATAATACAGATTATATACGTATATAGAAATAGAAAAATATTTTGACGTATGCACAAAAGTATGTCACAAAGATCAAATACGTTTCCTTGTCATCTAACTTTCATTGAGAAATATGTCTACTTCAATTCTATTTCAATTCATTAAAAAAAGTTTGGACTGTTAAAATCATATATCTATTTATATTGATGCGCCTATGGTAAGACGATTTTGTGAATGCGATATTGCAATGTGTAATCTAATATTAGTTTAGTTTAGTTTGGGTATATACAACGTAGATATTTCATTATTTCTCTAGTCAATTGTACTCTATATACAGAAAATGAGAAAGAAGATCGAAAGACTATATTCTTGATACGGTTTACAAAACCGTAAAATTGAAAATCAATTATGTCCGCGTATTATAGATATACCAAATATAGTTGAAATCTCTTTCAAGATTTTATATAATTAGCACAATATATGCGTATTTATTCACAAATGTATTCATATTCAAAATATTTATAAAGGCAAACAATTGTATACATATTACTTTTTTTTCTTTATAATTATCTATATTTATTTAGTTGGAAGGATAGAAAGCAATAACGGATAATAAAAGTTGTTTGTTTCATCAGAGTTAAGTTTGGAAACAAAATGAAAAAATTTCACAAAAGGAAAAACAGTTTAATTTTAAATTTAATCGAGATTACAGATAATCTTATATTGGTAGGACGAACATGAGCAGATGATCAATGGAAAGAGCTTGAACAACTCTCTTCCAAAGGTCATATTGCTCAATCAAAACAAACTATTGCATTCACATCACATGCTTACTGCTTTTCACGCGGAGTCACTCCATATTTCACGAGGCGCACAAAGTGGTCAAAGCACTCCTCGTCATATTCTGGTACCAAGGGATCCATTATGTATTTTGAAATAAAGTGAAAATTAGAAAAAAGTGAGTGAATTTGTTAGAATAATCTATTAATCCATTAATCAATACCTAGTTAATTTGTTCATTTTTATAATTTTTATCACATTTCGTTTCAAGATACGAAAGACGATGCTCGCAACGGATGATGAAATCTTTTTCTATATCGGAGAAAAGGAGAGACAAAGGAAGGAGAGAGAAGAGAAGAGGCGGAGGGGGAGAAAATACGCATGTCGATTGTAAACTTACACTTGAGCCCATCTCCGAAGGTGCCATTGATACAGGCTAGGATGAAAAAGATGTAGAGCAGCCTCGTCATCATGATGCAACAAAGAGACTAGAGTGTTCGAAAGAGCAGTTTCCAAGAATGCCAAGACAAATTCTGGAATCCCAGGGAAAGAACAGGACGCGCGGTGTGGCGCGGCGGATCGTTCACCTCGTTCAGAAGCAACCTTTATACGCACTGGTATAGAAGGCTGCCTTTGTCGAAGTTGGATAAGAAAGCGCGACGACGGCGACTAAATGCGTCTGGATGTCATCGATCACCTTACAACAATGACTATGATCATTCGACTAACGCGGGACATTCGCACTTTAACGCACACAGGCGGGGATAACCGGAGATAAGTAGGAGTACGCGGCAAGTAACGAGAAACGAGTAACGATAACGAAGGCGTTGAAATCTACTGCTTTCATTGGCTTTCATCTACCATTTCCTGCCCCACGTCCCGCTAGCTCTCTCACGCGACGCTTGCGCCGGCGCCGCCTCTTCCTCATCAGCTGACTCATTGCTGGCTGCCCAGAGTGAAAACTCCCATTTCTGTGCTGGACAACGTTCATTGTCGAAGGAACGTCGAAGCGAGAGTATTCACGTTGCCTTCTCACCGAACGTTGTTTGTTGAACGTTGCTTATCGTTCGCGGCGAGAAAGACATTTGAGACATCAAGCTCCATTAACTTCCTTCTGCACGTACGTATACTAAGAAATACTCTTCAAAAAGGACTCGCTGCGCTTTTCCACTCTTGGAAAACTCCTTTCTCTCGCGGGTTGTTGTACTGTACATCATAAACGTATTGCGCACTATTGGTCGTTGCGACGTACTACGAAGTACGTCACGTGTCTCCTCTCCGAGAGAGAGAGAGAGAGAGAGAGAGAGAGAGAGAGAGAGAGAGAAACGTGTTGTGAAATATTCTTGTCTATTTGAAATATTCTTATCACGAGTCACAAACAATTTT